CTATAAAGACTGAGAGAGGTGAGGAAGCTGCATAAAATAAGTTGAAAGCTAGCAGAGATTGGTTCAAGAGGTTTAAGAAGTAAATCATCTTCATAACATCAAAGTGCAGGGTGAAGCAGAACATGCTGATAGAGAAGCTTCAGCAAGTTAACCAGAAGATCTAGCTAGGAGAATTGATGAAGATGGCTACACTAAACAACAAATTTTTAATAGAGGCAAAATCATCTTCCATTGAAAGAAGATGCCATCTAGAATTTTTATAGCTATAGAGAAGAAGGCAATACCTGGCTTCAAAGCTAGAGTGCTCTGGGACTGTAGGTGAACATTTTTTTGCAGGCCTAGGCCACAAGGACTGCAACTCCTAGGCAAGTCCTAGTGCTGAGCTGGGTGCAGGGTCAGTGGACTGGGGGCATGTGACATACTGAGACACCAGCTGGGAGTGCTTTTTCCACCCCTTCCCCCCACACCCTTGCAGCAGCCAGGTGGTATGGAGAAATATATGCACTTGGGAGAGGGAGAGTGCAGCAACTGGGGGACTTCACACTGAACTCAGTGCTGCCCCATCACAGCAAAGACCTGGAAGGATTCATGACCTACTGACTAAAGAGCCCCTGGACCCTGAATAACAGTGATAACCAGTAATACACTGTGGGCCTTGGTCTGTGATATGTGCTGTCTTCAGGTGTGAGTCAGCACATTCACAGCTGTGGTGGCCATGGTGAAAGACTCTTTCTGTTTTAGAAAAGCTTGGGAAATAGTAAGGGGGACTCTGTCTTGCACCTTGGGTATCAGCTTGGCCACAGTGGGGTAAAGCACCAAGCCTGAGTCCAGGCCTATGCTCTTGGTACAAATATCATCATGAGGTAGCTGAAATTTAAATGAAGTCGTACTATTTAGACTTGTTCTAAAGCAGATATCTGCAAAAGCTTCCCAATAGAAAAATAATCATGGGGAAAATTATGTGCACAGAATGGTTTTTATTCCATGCTGTGCCTTTGTATTCAGTTCTCAAGGCAGTTCCATAAGAAATGGTTTTCCGCAATAGAACTTGTTTGTCTTCTTATAAAAAAAAATTATAAAAGAATAAAACTGTGTGGGGTGGGGTAGAGGGGAAACAAGACACAGCATTCCTCCTCAAAGGCCTTGAGAAAACCTTCAGGATCCATTCTATTTTGAAGGTAGTATGGGAATCAAAGAGAAGAGAGAGAAAGAGAAACAAAGAGAGAGAGAAGATAGACAATAAAATAACTAGCTTTCTAGAAGGGAAAACAGTTCTCTCTGTCCTCATTTTATTTCCCCAACTTCCTTTTAAAAATTGCTCCAGAGAAGAAAGAGCATCCCAATATACCCTTGGATTTTTACCCCTTCGTACACAAAACTCATCCTGTAAGTATAACAGCCAATAAAATCGCAAGTCCTTGGTTCGTAGTGCTAACAACCTTTCTTGAGGTTGTGTAAAAGGGATTGGGTAGGAAGGGCTGTCCCTCTCAACTTTCCTTGATTCTTCACTTCACCTTTACTTTTTATGGGGATCTCAAACCTGCTCTGATCCCCAAAGGTTTGGTTATTTTAAGGTCAGATTCTAGATAAGGGCAGATTCTAAATTAGGAAGACATTGATAACTGTATAAAGCAGTGCTCTTGTAGTCCTTATGGCGTCAGGAAAAGTTCAGGTTACAAAGTTCTAAGACTAAGGAGAAAGTGACTACTTTGAGAGTTGGCATTCACTTAGGATTTTGCTTAGCCAATGAAAGAAGAAAGAATAATCTTGCCTTTGCTAGCTTGTCATTTTAGTCTGCTTGGTGATAAGACTATCTGACTTTTTCAGGAAAAAAGTCAGTGTACCCTTTAGAGATAAAACATTTGATAAATATTCACTAGTGATATCTCAAGAATATGGATCAATTATTTCCAATTCAACTCCAGTCTGCTGTTAATCCTGCTTTACATAGTTATGGAATACAGGACAGTTGCCTTTGATTCTAAAATATCTAATTCTAGATATTTTATTTTCCCAATTCTGATCTCCCCCCCCAATTTTTTTAAAGACCAGCTAGTCTTTTACCAATTACGGGATTTGACAGAATGTGTTGAAAAAGATTTCCTATAAACTCTTTCTCCTATTGCTAATTTTTCTCTATTGTAAGTTTAGAGTATTTGTGAATTAGATCAGTAATGTAAAATAGAGAAAACAAAAATGCTCATACATATTCTACTCTTTAACTGGTTCAGCCCCTAGTAGCTTTAGGTTTGCTCAGAAGTCAAGCATCTCTGAGATTCAGAAGTAAGAATTTTAAGAAAACAAAAGAAATATATACAAAATTATTGTTCTTTTATCAAAAAGCAGCTACCTAAGAATGCTTATATTTTCTCCAACACAGTTGACCTTTATTTCTTGGGAAAAAATGAAAGATACCTGCTTTGCATATATATATAAAAAATCTATTTAGGAATGTATGGGAGGCAAGTGACAATGAGGGCTCCTACCCTGATGTCATGCCAGGAGGGAGTGAGTGCATCTTTCTTGCTTACTCCAACCATCCCCCATCTAGATGGCTTTCTTGTTTAAGTATGGAAAATCATTTTTCCTTTGTGCTTGGATGAAAGTAGAATCTGTTACAGAACATTACTTTCTCCAGGTAAGATGTGAGGAAGATGGTTCCTTGGATCCCTTGTGACATCACTTTCAAAGTAGAGGCCCATTAAACACTGAGTAAGTTGGACATTCCTGAGAGGATCATCGGTGAAGGGAAGTGGAAGGTACCAGCACAGAGCGGGGGTTTATGGGAATCTCTCACAAATCTCATAGCCACAGTACTTACAAGAACAGTCTCTGCCTCTGGGCATCTATCTGTTCACTTAACAGCAATGAAAATAAATTGATGGTTAGAGACTTAATTAAAATCATTAATGAGGATTAGTTTCGCCTTAGTTCCTAAACATTTTTCAAATGGGATCTTGCTACTTAAGGCTTTTATTCATGTTTCTACTATTTCTCTCAAAAATCTAGGAAATTTTCTTGTTTACGGATTCACCAGTGACTTGCATGTGTGGAAGCAGAAATTTTATGACGTGAACTGTGTATTTTACAGTTTGATAGTTGACAGACAAACAACCTTAGGGAGGAGCTAGGATTAGGACTGTCAACATTATCATGTATGAATTGCCAAGAAGGCTTCCAGGGTTTTCTTTGCCTATTGTTTTAGGAAGAAAGGTGTTTATGAAACTTACCAACAGGAAGTCACAGAGTGAAGGAGCTTTGTTTAACATCTGTTTGTCAGCTAACTGCAGTACTATGGGTAGATTGGTGGAGTCTCTTGGCGTTTAAGTAGGAGTCTTTGTGTTTGTCAAAGCAGCTTCCAGTCTAAGACAATTTTCCACACAACTGGGATTGCACACACTGTCCAATTCAGAGAAAATTTTATCTGTCTCTCCCTTTACCATTTTTTATAAATTTGAGAAACTTCAGGACCAATTCTGTGTTATGTAGCCTATGTTTGTAAGCTTGAAATTTTCCATTGCCTTTTTCTGTGTGTTTTTATAAAAAACACTCCAATATTACACAGGAGGTTTTAGTAGTATTTCATTTTTAAAGGAAATAATCTTTTTGAAAAGAGAAAAAGAAATGAGAGAGTATCGATTCCAGTAGGAAAGAAATATCTAGGCATTTAATTTTCAAGCTGACATGAATGTGTGCACAGAAGAGAGATTTTCATTTGAGTCACATACTTTTAAGTAATATATCCAGTTGTTTTGGGCTACTTTGAATTTTATTTTAAAAAGCCCTACATTTGAAAGCCCATGAAAGTCTACTACATCCAAGTAGTAATGAAATAATCCATTCCATGGTTCCTTATTAAAATTATCAGCACCCACACCCCAAAGAGGAACTTTTAATTGGAGATTAATTTGTAAAGGATAGAATGCCCATCAATTCATCCAGATCAAAGGCACTGATGGAAGAATGCTGAAAATGGTACTTTGAATAATTCATAATTATTTCAGATTAAAATAATACTGCTGTCATTTCATTTATATAAAAGGAAATTTACTAAGAATTATCTGTAAAGTATACGGTAAAATTTCTATGTATTTCTAATTATGTTATAGGAGATAAACTTAAGGAATATCATTATTAACTCATTATTAACTTTTACCCATATGAATATTAAAAAGTCATTATGTGGTCTTAAGGAAGTAAATCATGGGTCATCACAGCAGAATTCCACGTTCTAGCAGTATATATACATGATGGGAAATCATTTATCAAATTATCTTCCTAAAATGATTGCCTTGAATGGATCCAAAGATGGAACTCAGCTTTTCCCTGAAGCATTGTTTCTAGTTACAAAACAAAACAAAGATCAGAATTCTGCAAAGCATACAAAGGTTGTATGCTTTTTCTTTGGTTCCTAACATCTATTTGTTTGTTCTCCTGAGACAAACTGGCCTGCTCTCATTGTCTGTGTCATTTTGGGTCAGCCTCCTCATCTGCTCTGATCTTGTAACTCATTAACTAGGTGATAATTATGTAATTACGGAGTCTATCCAGTGCCCAACTCCCCAAATGCCTACTGGTCATTTATTTGGATATGCAACCACCACTTGTCTAATGCTGAATTTATCTTCCTTCAGTTCTCAAGCTTATTTTTCAATTTTCTTATTTTGCATGCTTCTTATGTCTTTCCCTATCATAGCCTATAAATCTATCATGTAATATTAATTGTCCAATGTTTCATGATTATTTCTTTTGAAGTCACTTTATTTCAGGACTATAAAACATAAATAATTAATACTAATGATATTTCTTGCAAGTGTTCTCAATGCTTAAAATGTGTTTTACCTCCCTTTAACCCAACACACACCTTAGAAATTATCTTGGACCTTGAGCTAAAGAGTATGTTACATTTCTGCTTGAAATGCTTCTATGGCTCCCTGTTACGTAACAAATAATAGCTCAAATCCTTATTTATTTTTTTTTGTTTCACAACAAGGACTTACCCTTCTTTCGTGAACTGTTCCACTAAATCTCTTACTTGAATCACCTCCTTCACTGAGTTGACTTTTCCTCTGGGACACCTTGATCATTTTACTCTACACACTGAATTTATTTTTTCACTTTCATTGTCAGTATTACTCCCTCTCACCATCTTCCTCCATTTTTATATACTAAAATGCAACCTAGGCTGGTCGCAGTGGCTCACGCCTATAATCCCAATACTTTGGGAGGCCAAGGCGGGCAAATCACGAGGTCAGGAGTTCGAGACCAGCCTGGCCAACATGGTGAAACCCCGTCTCTACTAAAAATACAAAAAATTAGCCGGGCATAGTGCCGGGTGCCTGTAATCCCAGCTGAGACAGGAGAATCGCTTGAACCCAGGAGGCAGAGGTTGCAGTGAACCGAGATCATGCCACTGAACTCCAGCCCAGGCAACAGAGTGAGACCCCATCTCAAAAAAAATAAATTAGTAAAATAAAATTCAACTCAACCTTCAACCTTATGTAATTTCTCTTTATTTCAAAAATTATTGAGCACATGCTTTGTGGTACGTATTACTCTATACTATGAAATAGCACTTGTATGTAAGATACTGTCTCTGCCTCCAAGGAGCATATAGCTTGTACAGAAGGTCTTAATTACAATGGAATAAACAATAAATAAGTGGGACAGGAGCCAACATTCACTGACCACCTGTATCTGCCAGGTTCATTACATACTTTCCAGACAACCTGTGAAATCAGGATGGCTATCCTCACAATACTTGGGGAAATGAAGCCTCAGAAAGATTAAGTAATTTGTTTATAGTCACCCACCTAGCAAATGGCACCCCATTCTAGGTGAACCCAAAGCTTCCCCTTGTACTGTGATACAATGGAGACTTTGTCCAGAAATCTTGCTCTCCTTCGAATTCCTACCATATTTCATTCTGTACCATACATTTGGCATTTATCATATACTGGATTAATGGTTGTTATATTTATTTTTAAAAACATTGCTTGAGTACCTACAAACTGCCTGATATTGGACTAAGTGCTAAGATACATAAAGATCAACGTGATAAAATCCTTGCTTTCAAAGAGCTTCCAGTATGGTGTGGGGGAAAGAAACGTAAAAGAACATGTACCAAACAGTGTACTGAGGACTCTACCAAGTGATGATTCTACCTTTGAAATATCAAAATCTTCTATCGCCTCCTATTCTTTTTGTAGTGGCTCACTGTGCTGCAGGACTGAATCTCTCCATGTGTAGCTGTATATGGGCTGCTTCTTCCCCTGCTGTGGGTAGAGGCACCTACCTCTGCTTTAGAGAAGACAGAAGAAGGCTTCCTCAATGACTGACTGGATAGAATTTTGAAGGATAAGTGGGAGAACTCCAGGTAACAATGGAAAGAAAAATCATAGGTAAAAACAGAGTTGTGAAATATTATGACATTTTCAAAGAACAGCCTAAAATTCAGAGTTCACTTAGAAAAAGTGGTAAGAAATGGCTGGAAACATAGCCAAACCTTTCCATAGAATGACGTTATATGCTATTCTAAGATGCTTAATTCTGTGAGCTTTGAAAAATAGATGCTTTGGCGCTACCCAAGACTAATTGAATCAGGAACTCCAGGGCTTTATGGTGGGGAGGAAGGTCTGGGCACTGGAGCTTTTAAAAAACTCACCAGGGTGATTTTAATGTGCAGTCGTGGTTGAGAATCAGTGCTTCAGACCAAGGGGAGCCAAATAAGTTTAGGAAGCAAAAGGCATGATCGAATTTGTGCTTTAGACAGAGCATTCTGGCAACGGTGCAGAAAATAAACTGAAGGGTGGGATACAGGAGACAGAGATGCAGTGAGAGTCTGTTATAATATTCCAGGCAAGAGATGATAAGCTCTTAAAATTACTTTTTATCACTTAATGCCTTTATGTTAACTAGATTGCTAACATGTCTGAAGAGTTCCTGTCAAATTCATTTTCCTAACAACTTTTTGCCTAGTGCAGTGTAGATACCTAACAATATTTGTCGCAGTATTTCATAACAAGACAAAGGTTAACATTGATGAAAAATTAAAAGTCACCTTTTCAAGAGTGAGTTTCATGACTGCAACATAATACATTGTTTTCAAGAAGACTTGGAAAATATAAAAAATATATGTCATTATCAACAAAATAATAAAAATGGACCATTAGACCACCACTTGAAGATGTGCTGTCTTCATATTTTGATGTTTCCCTTTTCCAATTATTGTTCACATAATTTATTTCATTCTCTGTATAAAATTACAAAAATGGAATCATGCTATATCATAAGCATTTTTTACATCATTAAAGCTCTCAATCAAGTTTATTTAAAATATTACAGAATGTGCTACACCATAATTTACATAGTAATTTTTCAGTTGTTGATTTGTGGTTTTTACTATTACAGATGATGACCATAGTTGACAAAACATTTTTTAAATTTCTGATGATTTCCTTAGACTGAATTCTGTGAAATAGATTTATTGAAGGAAAGAGAATATTTTGAAGGTTGTTGATAAGTTTGCAAAATTGTTTTTCTAAGAGTTTCTCGATGTCCTTTCTGCCCAACAGTGTAATGAACTTACATTTTACCTACAACTTTGCCATCGCTATCCATTTGTGTGTATATATATATACACGCACATATACACACACGTATATATATATGTATAAACACATGTACATATATACACCACACACATATAGACACACATATGTACATATATAAACACACATATACACGCATATACATATGTACATATATAGATATATGTATATACATATGTGCACACACAAATACACACATATACATATGTATACATGCACATATGCATATATGCACCCATATGTACACACATGTATATGTGTGTATATGTATGCATGTACACACAAATATATACATATGTGTATATATGTGTGTGTGTATGTGTGTATATAGATAAATGTATTTACAAAAACAATGTACTGAGGACTTTCTCAGAGTAATGTTTCTACTTTTGTAATATCAAAATCCTCTATCATCTTCCATTTCTTCGTAGGGATCCAACCAGCTACAGTACCTAAGATTTCCATGCCTCCATAGGTTTCATTGAAACAAAGGGTTGTAGGTGACAATATACATTGGATGTTTTATAGTTTAAAAAAATTGTATATCAGTTATTTTACAGTTAAAAAAAGAAATCATCCTCTTTCTCAAGATATTTAAGTATATTAGAATACAACTTTGCTAATTGTATCATTATTCTTTAAAAATCACTGTATACCTTGACATAATCCATTTTTATATATTTTCTGCTTATAGATCTTTCCTATTAATTGAATTTTCAGAGTTTGCTTCTTAAAATTAAATAATGATTTTTATTGTATTGTGTTTCTGTTTACTACTTCTGTATATACACATTTTTGCAACTTTTCTCTTGCCTTTCATAAAGCTGACTTTTTAATACTCATATTCTGGCTTCCTCAGATGAACAGCCTTGTTCAACTTTTCCATTTTATTATTTCTTCCTTTAGATTGGAATTCACTTTTCTTTTACTTTTCAAAATCATGCAAACTTCAAAGAAAACTATAGAGAATAAGTCTGCAGTTTATTAATTTAAAAATTTGTACCATAGTTGCCATAGATAATTTTAAAGAAATTTTTAAACATTACTGTATTAATTTGCTAGGGTTTCCTGAAAAGGTACCATAGATTGAGTGACTTGAACAACAGAAATTTGCCATCTCACAATTCTAGAAACCAGAAGTCTGAAATTAAAATGTTGGCAGAACCATCCTTGTTTGAAAGTGCTAGGAAAGTATCTGCTCCAGGTCTGTCCCCTAGCTGCTAGGAGTTTGTTGCCTTGCTGAAGTGAAATGCCAGTCTTCACATGGCATTCTTTGTGTGTGTGTGTCCATGTCCAAAATTTTCCTTTTTATGAGGACACTAGTTATATTGGATTAAGAGATCACCCTATTCATTATGACCTCATCTTAATTTAACCAATTACATTTACAATGATCTTATTTTGAGATAAAATCACAGTTTGAGGTACTGGGGCTTAGGACTTCAACATATGAATTTAGGAGGAACAAAAGGCAACCCATAACAATGACAAATCATCTTCAAGCCTTTTGCATAATTCTCCTGGAATAACATTCCTTCCCAACTGGAATTTCAAAAATCTTTTTCAGTATTTTATACTATTTTACATATGAAAGAAAACATAAGCAAGATATAAATTTGGCATGTTTTCAATTTCTATTTTTTAAGAACTATATTATGCTTATCATTTTGTAATTAATTTCTTTTACTCTATATTATGCTTTTGAGATCTATTCATGTTGACATATTTAACTCTAATTATAATTTACTCACATTAAATGCTGTTTGGTATCTTTATATGTAAACATACAAAAATTGACTTATCTAATCTTCTGATAATGGATATTTTGGGTGTTTCCAAATTTTTTTCTTGGGTTGGGAACTTGCTCTGTCACTCAGGCTGAAGTGCAGTGACATGATCACTGCTAACTGCAGCCTTGACCTCCCAGGCTCAAATGATCCTTCTACCTCAGTTTCCTGAGTAGCTGGGACTACAGGCACACATCATACCTGGCTAATTTTTTTGTTTTTGTTTTTTTTTTTGGTAGTGATGGGGTCTCACTATGTTCCCCAGTCTGGTCTTAACCTCCTGGCTCAACCTATCCTCCTGTCTCAGCCTCCCAAAGTGCTAGTATTACAGGCAAGAGCCACCATGCCCAGCTTGTTTCTAATTTTTCTTGCTATAAAAAAACTGTAATAAGCATTGCAGTATGTCTATGCATGTGTGAGTTGGATCATTTTTCAGGAGTACACCTCTAAATGGAATTGCTAGGTAGGAAGATAATGTGTTTTTTCAATTTACCAATTTGTCTGTTTGCGCTTTGAAATTTTCAATGAATATATGCATCAGCAAGGAAGGCATTTCTCCATTTTTTCACAAGTACTTATTTTTGTTCATATTTTGTATATTGCCACTTTGATGGGTGAAATAAAAAGTTTTTATTTTGTGCTTAGCTTCTTTTTAGGCATTTCTTGGTCAATTATGTTTTGCTTACATGG